ACTTCTGTGTTGATGAGGAATTATTGGACAAATAACAGGTTTATTGTGTTTATTGACTAGACATGCAAAGCACAGTGCATGGGCACCCATTGGGGCATGCTCATGCCACAGTGTAATGTGCATTTGTGCAATGAAGAGACAGGGAATCACAGGAAGTAGTGACATATAGTACACAAGAAGACCATGAATAGCCAATAAAAACAATTGCATAGTACATGCAAATTAGTGAAAAAGCTTCATACAGGTTTTGGAGCCATTTGCTGAATCTCCACGCTGCTTTCTACGTGAAAGATCTCTTAAAGTAGAGTTTTTTTCACTTGCGTGTTTTTAATAAGATTATCTGACTGATTATCTTCTAGCTGGTGCCTTTTGGGTCATCACAGCGAATCATCTGCCACCACCTCACCCTACCCCTAGCATTCTCTTCTATTATACTCACACTAACCAACTTCACTACATCCATGAATCTTCTCTTAGGGGATATTCTTCCTCATCCCTATCAGCTTCATCTTCAATATCCTTTATTCAGTAAACCCACCATCCACCCACCTCCTCTTCAAATGTGCAAACTATCTCAGCCTTGCCTCTCTGGGCTTGTCTAGATCCTAGATTGTAGATTGCACTTAATCTACTCAGTTTTAATTCTGTTCATGCCCAATAAAAATCTTAACATCTTCAATTACCCCCGACACTTGTCTTCACCCACTTCACCCTACCTGCACTCTCTTCCACACCTCTCTTGTCCAATGTCTGTTGAATATACCCCGATGTGTGGTATGGGTCATAAAAAGTTTGTGTCTGCATTTTGGTGATCAGAATTATAGTATTCTATTGTTCTCCTACTTAGCACTAATTAACATATGGGTATCTGTGCATTACACTGGTACAGTTTATGGATGCAGCTTATTACCCAGACCAGCACTAGCTGAGTATTTAGCATTTCACTTGCAGCTACAGAAAAACACAAAAGCATCAGCCAAGAAATTTATTTAAAGTTTCTTTTTTATATAACAGCCAGACTCTGTTATCTATCGCCTAAATGTGTTTTGAGAGTTGTTGGGTTTTTTTGCTCCGTATGTTGAGTCTGAACTAATTAAAAATTCCCTGTTCTCACAGATTTTGTGTCTTCTTTGTATATTATATGTGTAAACCAGCTGAATGCTTTTCATTACACTGACCTTTTTCTGTGATATTCTTCAGCTCTTTGGCAAACTTCTCCACCTGAGCTAATATAGACATGTAAATGGACTCTGTCCCCAGGTCAGAATTCACCGACACTTTGTACCAGTCTTTGGTAGGTGGAGGGCTGGACAGAATTGGGAACGTCTAGGGAGCAGGTGGAAAGAAATGTTAGAAATTTTTTCCTGTCAGTATTTACCAAAATGCCAACTCTTCCTACAGGATCAGGAGTTGAGCATCAAAGCTTATCAGACATTAAGTCACCGTCACGTTGCCAAGCAACCACCTAATAATAGACTAAAATGTTCCTTACACAACAAACGGGCACTTATGTGCTCTTATAAAAGCTTACAAAAGCTTCGTGTCACTCATTTGATGTCAGTGACATATAATTTGGCAAATATTGAATATAATCATTTTTGATATCTCCAATCTGTGAAGTGTACATTACATCTCTTTTCACCCTAACTTATCAAGTCAAGTTTACTTTATTTAGAAACTATATGAGTAGTTTAATGTTTGCTTCAGTAAAAGTATAAATATACTTAAGGTAATAGGATTTCAATCCACGTGAATTTGACCTTAAACAGATTGTTGTCACATGCATGTTATGTATATGTATAGGTAAATCAAAAGCCATACAAGTATACACCCATATAGTATATCTTTTACTAGATTCTAGATAAACAAATCGTGCATATTAATTTTTCATTATATACTTAATGGGCCTGGCCAGTGTCTGACCAATGAGTGCATTAGTATGCCTTAATGATACATGCAAATGCATTTTGATGTATAAGAACATTTTGTCAGTTCTGTGGTTATCTGCTATTTATTTGTATAAATAACATTTACCACCTCTACTTTTTTACTTTCCTCAGTCTGATTCAGTATGTCAGTTTGCCAACAGCACAGAACAAATAGTATTGGAACATGGGCGTGTACTAGCATCTTCACATTCATCCTTAAATTCTCACTTTCACACAGTATAAATGATCATCTGATTGGGCAAGCTTGGAAAGCTCGCTTTGTCTCTTCTTTAGTTGTTCGATCTCCTGTTCCAGCTGCCTTGTCATGGATTCAGCATGGCGCTGTGCCACCTTCCGGCTGATCTCCATCGCCTCCACCAGCTCTGCCTGGGAACGTTCAATGAAACAAACCAAACTCGAGAATAGAGAAACGCTGCCCGCCGTCTCTCGGTCCACTGCCAGCTGGAAAGTTAGACAGAGTGATATGAGATACATAATTGTTTAATTTGTTTTGGTTTAAAATATATATTAATCTCCCCTGTAAATAAAAATTCTCACATCACATGGAAATATGCAGCATCTGTGAATTGCAGCTCAGATTTCAAATGTAAGGAACCTAAATTTTGCAAAACTAAAAATCTAAGAACATGTGCAAAATGTCTAGAAATCCTAAAATGCAAGGTAAAAAGTTAGAAACATAAAAACTTTACCAAAGTTTGAATAATGTAATTAAAACTTGAGAGTGTTTCATAAATGATTTTGTTGTTTAGAAAAACATAATATTGGAAAAAAATATATATTTTTTTAACTTAAAATGTAATATGTGGATTTGGTAATCAGATATAAATTGTAGATCAGGGAAATACACCTGCACTTTTATGTAAAATTGGCTATAGATATTGTTTAATAAGCTCCCAACATGTAGAAATACATAATTTAAGTTTGAAAAATTCAATTCAATTTTATTTATACAACAACAGTTGCCTCAAGGTGCATTATATTGTAAGGTATTGTTAGGGTCCCTGGGTCGTTGACCCAGTGTTTTGTGTTTTTGGTTCTTTGATTTTGTTATTTCATTATATTCTAGCTTTGCTTTATGGTTTTTAGGATCATTCTTAGTTTAGGTTCTCTGGGTGGGGTTGGTTAGAGTTTTAGTGTTCTGGTTTTCTGTCTGTGTTCCTTAGTTGCTGTCTCCCCTGTCTGCTGTATCCCCACATCCAGTCAGTGTCTGTGTCTGTCCTGGTCCCACGTCTCTGTTCCCTCTGTTGTAGTGCTTGCATGTGAGTCTGTGTCTTTTGTTCAGTCTGTGTTTTGGGTTTCCTGTTTTACTTTGAAAGTCCATGTCTCATGTTAATGTGTTTGGTTTTGCTTCTCCTTTGTCTTGTTAGGCCTGATTTGCCCCAGCTGTGTTTCCCTCCTGTTGCCCATTCCCTGATTGCTCCCTCTATGTATTTAAGCCCAGTGTTTCAGTTTGTCAGTGTCGCGATCTACCGTTTATTTTGCTGTGTGTTTTGTCAGTCCACCGGTGTTAGTTTATTTGATTTTTTCCCAGTTATGTTATGTTTGAGTTCAGCATTAAAGCTGTTTTGGTTTAAGTTTGTCTCTGGAGTCTGCACCTTGGGTCCTATTCCTGTCCGCACACAGCCGTCACACAACAGGTATACCCTACAATATTACACAGAAAAACCCCAATAATTATATGACCTCCTATGAGCAAGCACTTTGGCAACAGTGGGAAGGAAAAACTCCCTTTTAACAGGATGAAACCTCTGGCAGAACCAGGGTCAGGGAAGGGCAGCCATCAGGTGCGAACATAAAAAGGGAAATTGAAATAGAAATTGTTTAACACCGCGGTCCCCAATCCCCAGGCCACGACCAGTACTGGTCCATGAGTCATTTGGTACGGGCCGCGGGAGTTGAGGCTGTGAAATTTATGGTATTCAGGGTTTTTATCATTAACTCGGTTTCCCTGGGTCTTTTCCCATGTTATAGTTGTGAGTCTTATATTGAAAGAAATGTTACCATAGTGACCAGAGAGCATTAAGGGGCAGAAAGGAGGACGTTACTCTCAATGTTGTTGGCGCATTTCAGGAGGACGCTGCTAATAAAGTTACAGAAATACACACTGAATTCGCTAAATAGCACAGTTTTTGTCTTGGTCGTATAATTTTATTGTTTTGCATTGATCCTTGACACCTTAAAGGCCGGTCCGTGAAAATATTGTGTGACGTTAAACCAGTGCAAAAAAGGTTGGGGACTGCTGGTTTAACAAAAACCTTGAAGTGATATGAGGATTTACAGGTTTTACCATGCACCTGTGGTCTTACACAAGAATGTGTTTGTGTTTTACCTCCAGCTCTGTCACTGACATATTTATCTCTTCGATCTTGTTGATTCTCTCGATAATCATGTCCTGGATTGTCCGCTCTGACACAGTCAGCAGTATCTAAAATACACAAACATTCATGTTACACAGTACTGACTTCACTTGACCTTCAGCCTATTGGTGTTCTGAAACAGACGTGGGGAACAAGGGTGGATCTGTTTGTGATAATGTATGTCAGACAGTAGTCAATGAGCATATCTTACAAAATACCTCCTTCTGGAAACAAATAATCACTACATAACTTCATATTATATGCAGCATGACCTGAAACCAAATGTTTAAAAATGATATATTGAATAGAAACAGTGTAGAGCAAGGGTAAGCAACTCCAGGCCTCGAGGGCC